CATACAGATGAGAAATTAATGTTAAAAATGGATTCTGGATTGCAGGGTTGTTGAGGGTCATTTTGTTACTTGACATTGGGTCAGATTCTGCTCTCTTTATATCTATCATGGCTTCACTGAACATAGTAATTTTGGAGGTGTTTAGCTGTTGTATCAAAGTAAATTTTTTGCATCTGAAAAAAATTTTGAAGTGTTGTCTACCTGTATTGTAGGGTTTAATCCACTGCAAATTCAACTGAATTTTTTGCACAGAGCTACTTAGGAATACTGGGGAGGGTACAGCAGACAGGAGGGGGAAAGATAGTCAGAAAATACTTACTAAACTAAACCAAAGCTATCTAAAGTCAACCTTCCTGAAAAAACTTTTGTGAAGAATGTTTTCTTAGTTTTCTTTCTCTTGTAGCCCAGCCAGCACATCCCCACGGGCACACACCCATCCCAGCACCCTGCTCCCCAGGACACCGCAGGGCCAGGGCCCGCACCCACACCCGCAGCAAGGGCAGGTTAAGCTGGGCAAATGCCCTCTTCAGGCTCCATATTTCTCCCAATTGATTCAATACAGTATTTCAGATATTTAGTATTTCTTACATTTACATGGCTGCAGGCTTGACAGCTGAGGTTTGATTAACAACCAGAAACACCAAAATTTCCAGTACGGGGGAATGGAATAGATTATGTCCTATAGTATTGATTTATTAGTCATTTTGTTAATATTTTCTGCTTTGATGAAACTCTCATTTTTGCATGGGATTTTTAATTTTCATTTACATTGTTCAGATTCCAACCAAGATATTGTAAGCAAAAATAATCATTAACTTTCCAGCTCATTCATCAATAATAATTTTGTTTCCAGCTTTTCTGACAATCAGGTATGCAAATCATCTGAACACTATGGACAGAAGCCTTTTAAAATGTGTTTCTTTTCTGGTGTATGATAACCACTTCAAGCAATTTTCTCTCTTAAGATGTTCCTTATCACTATTTCTAGCACTATTTCTGATTTGTAGATGCTGAAAAACAAAAATTCTCAAAGACTAGCAGAAGATTTTAATCCGATCAACCAGAAAAACACATCGTTTCAGCTACAACTGTCTCGTTTACCAGAGTCTCCATGCAGAAACCTGGTTTAACTTCTATTAAACATGCAAGCACAGAACAAATTTCTTTGCTAACTAAGCAAACCTTGCATAAGCATTAATACACATTTTCAGAGTGAGAAGTAAACCAGATAAGAGGCAAATACCAGAAAAAAAAAAAAACACAAATGTTCATAAGAATATTTCATCAAATGTGTTTTCATTACATGGAGACCTTATTTATATTAGCTGTTCATCAACCTTACAGTTGATTACTTACCAAAACAACTTGTAAAATGCAAACTTTTAATCAGTACAGTATTGTCTGTATCTCCACCTGACATTTTTTTAATAATTACTCCCAATCTGCGAGAAGAAACTACACCATATGAGTCATGTGTCCCATAAATCAGTTTGAATACCAGAATTTCTCAGTTAACTGTCTATAGTACCCTGCAGACCAAGAGTTATTTGCTAAAATAATTCAACACATAAAATGAATAACGTTGGTGGAAAAACCCATCATTTGCTGAAAGAAAATTTAAGAGCAAAGAAAGAAACTTAGTTATTTGAATAAACCATTCCCCTGCTAACTTCAAGGAACATTTATGATCCCTGCTTAAATTGAAAAAAGTTTGAATTATTGGTCTAATCAGTTAGAAACAGAGGGGTAACTGGAAACTGTAGATGAAGGTAGACCAGCGATTGGACTTCATGGCAGCATACCAGGGAGCGCCACACATGGGACAGACTGGTCACAGCCCATGCTCTGCTGTCTCCTTCTCCAGAAGCACGTGGCCACGGGGGTCATTACTTGAAAGGGTGCATCTTATTTCCTCTTCTCAGTCCTGACTGCCACAGCAGACCTGAAAAGAAACAAAAAGCCAATCCCTACATGTCACCCACCTGTCATCTCTCAGAAACTTTCTTGCTTCTGACTCCATGGGAATGCATTCCCCTGCTCAGGCATGGGAATCTCTCTCTTCTGCTACTACCTCTGGGATTTCAAATGAGGTCTGCTGGAAAGGAAAACTATCATGGCCAGAAAAAGAGAGAGCATTTAGTACAGCTTGTCAAGACTGAACATCCATGGAACGTGGCCTTCACACCAGGACAGTGCCCTTATCCAGTTACTGCTCAGCAGGGTCCTGCTTCTGAAGTGTTTGTATGTGCTGCCAAAGAAGGGCATTCTTAAATATTGTGATGAATTCAGCTATGGATTCAACAGCAAATGGACTTCCAGCTGCTGAATGGAAAACTTGCATGGTATCATAGAGGAAGTCTTCTCAGAGTCGGACTGTCCTGTGGAGCAATGCACATCAAATGTCCCTAGTAAAGACAGCATGCAAAGTGCCCGAGCGTGCGGTGTTACTTCTACGAAAGTGAGAAATTTTGAAAGATGCCAAAGACAAAGCAGAAGTCGTTTTTTGCAAGAGGCTCTTCTGTCTCAGTCTGTGTTTGACCTACAGTGCATACCAGAGGGCAGACCAAACTCCACCAAATTGCTCACAAAGGAACCATTAACTTACCAAGGAGGCTGGACAAGTATTAACAAGGAATTCATTAATGAGGAATTAAAGGAAGTGAAGCCACCTTAAAATCTAAGAACACAAAGATGGATCTGCCTAGTGAAAGGGGTAGCTTAAGTTTCAGCTGAAATGTGCATATATTCAAAAAGATTCAGTCTAGTGCTTTCTGTACTAATGGCCAAGCTTTCAAACAAGGCCTGAACTGTGAAACACACACAGACCACCTACTTCAAAGGAGAGTTTACATTTGCTGCATGGATCCTCAGGAAGAATCAGGATATTATCACAGCCCCAGAGCTCCTATACAGATAACCATGCACTCGTTACGAATTCGAGCCTTCAATTTCCGATAAGCAGTGCCCCTGTATGAGGATACCAAAGGTCCCGGAGTTGCTGGTACTAGTAATCACTCTCAGCAACAGCGAGAGAAGTACCCTGAGGAGTCTGACAGAGGGCATGGCAGGCTCTGACCTGAGCATTAATAAACAGAGAGGCAAATACTAGGAAAATATTACTGGGAAGACACAAAATTTCTCTTTACAAAGTAGATTTACACTTAGACCAGTATGCTTTAGTGGAGATTTGACTATTTAAGTTAAAAATACTTTCTGCAAGGATGTTTGTAAATGGCAACTGAAGTGGGCAGTATTGTCCTCAGTTTTCCCAACTAACCTCTTCACTACAGCAGTAGAGGAGATCTCCACTGTACCAGAGCAACAAGGGAAAATGACGTTTTAAACACTACAGTCTGTTTTTTCCAAAACTACAGCCTGTACTAGTTGATGTTAACCAACTGGTCTCCTTTGGTTATCATGTTTTGTAATTTTATGAATAAAAGACAGACTTACGCGATCACAACAGAATCATATCAATGCCTTCCAGTTTCCAGTTGTACAACGCTCACATACACGAATAAAACAAAGCAAAACAACTAAATCTTCCTCATTTTTCTAAAAATATTCAGAGCCAAAGTAAGTGCATAGAATACAAAAAACTAGCTAAATCAAAAAGTTTTCTATGAATCCATAAAACTGTATGAAACACAGCTTAGCTATTAAAAAGCAACTTCTAAGCCACCATATTTGGTCATTTCCTGCACAATCACAAAGAAGAAGGACTGTTCCTCAGCTTATGTACAACGGTGTAGGAGAGAGACAAGGACGGGAAAGCAAAATTTTATCATAAATAAAATCTTTTTACTGACAATGATGCCGCACCATGGGATAACATTGATTGCCTAGTTACCAACAAGTAATTCTGGAAACGTCTCAGGACCTTCCTGCTG